AAGAAAGAAAGAAAGAAAGAAAGAAAGAAAATAAAATATTTTTCCCAATCAAGAAACTTCTTTTCTTATTTTGTTGAGCGATCAAATCCACCAACTACATTTTTTAGTAAGTTTTTTTTACTAAGATTTCGATGAATTTTAACCGTTTGACTAGTCCTAGCTACATCACTGATTGATGTTTCTTTTTAGCTACTAAACGAGAATCCATCAGTTCCTCAGTAAAACCTAATCCTATCAACTTCCCTTGTATATCAACGAAACTATAAGTTGTCTAATTATCGTCTCTTTTATGTGTTCCGCACATCAAACACTAACAGTGCTATTAAGAATTAGTCAGTCATTATCCAATTCAATTGAACTGCGAGTTATCAAATTTATCCGTCTATTTTTTGATATCGTGCTTTAGCTAGGCGATGCGCCATTTCTTTGAAGGGAATCTTTTAAGAAAGTAGAATTGCGGCTCAATCTTAGGCGGCTTACCCTGCAAACAGATCTTGAGTCCTTACCCAACGGGCTCTGTTTTGCGATTGATCACCTTCGCGCGCGCGCCATATGTCGGCTTGCTGGTCGCCGTCAGTGAAGCTCGCTTCTTCAAGGTATAAATATGAACAAAAATCCTTCAACAATTTTTAATTGCCGTCCTCCGTTTACTGCTTTGTTTTTGAGCTGTACGTAAGAAAAGTAGGCAACCATTTAGAGGTTTTTAGAAATGCATAAAGTTTAGACAGGGTTTAGAGTGCAATGTTGTTTCTTTGTGTGTCATAAAATTAGGTGCTCGTAAAAATCGAAGTAAAAATTTCGCGCATAAAGACTGTACCTGTTTTTCAATTAGAGTCGGTTAAGCGAGAGCCTCTCAGCCCCGTCTACTTGTTCAGTTGAATTTATCCCGTAATAATAATTTTAAAAAATTGTCTACACTAAGCGTTTTCGAATCATTTACGCCTGTTCACACGTATCTGTTGTTTTTTTTTAAATGCATTTTTGGGCCAATCTGCAAAGAAAAAATTTCGTTAAGAAAATCCCTCACCTAGTTCACGTTTGGACGACTGAGCACGACCTCACTTTAACTCCAGGTACCCACGCAACTACAAGACAACTCAAAACAACGCCAAGGTCAGCTACAAAAAATAGACACTTAGAATCTAATTATGAATTAGGAGAATCGAATATAAAGCATTTAATATAATCAATGTATAGGCCGTCTTATTTAAGTTGGTCGATATTGACTTGCGTGAAATAAACATATCTATGTATGTCAAATTGCAAAAATCTGTCGATATAGATGCGCAGTAAGTTTACGCATGGCCACAGTTACATAAATGAATAAATTAAATGTGAACATGTGGTAATGCGCATGCGAGCATCTTCCAATGGAACATGCGCAATAGAAATACTAAATGATTATTAAAGTTATTCATATTATGTCACTTTGGACGATACAATTTCTGGTAACCGACACTCGACTCAGATGACAAAAAGATAAATTGTTTTTACAAGTGTTTTTATAAAAATAACTATTCGTAATTTAGACCCGCGAATTATTAATATAAAGCGATACTTCTTGTAAATGATACATTGATATATCGCACTGAAAAGAAATTGTTGACTAAATATAATACAACTCATATTGCTCTTTTTTGTCACTTTGCTTTACAAAAGTATGGATTCTAATAAATCATTGTGAAGCCGATTTTCCCGGCACTTGAAATTGTCAAAATCCTACTTTGGCGCTGAGGGCAAAGTTTTTGTGCATACAGACAGATGGAGACTAAGTATAATTAGCCTTGGGTGGTTTGATCTTTTGTCATTAGTTCTATTTAGGGTTGAGCATCGTGTAACACCATTATAGAAAACCTATCCATGCAAGTAAAATGACATACAAATCTTCGTCCGTCGAATCAGTACAGTCTTCTTTTCTCAACCATCAATCTTGTGGAAAATTCCCATTACATCATTTCACGTTGTTTCTTGATGATCGTCGTCTAGCCCGGTTCACTTTCTTTCCAACTTTCTTTCTAACACTGCTAATTCCTTCCAGGATTTCGTACAATAACGTGAAATACAATAACACTACAAGAAGTTCAATCTGCATTGCCTCCATGTATTGTTCGTCTGCAA